AGATGAGAGTCCATTGTTCCTCGCCTATGAAAAATGGACACCACCAGCCTTATGAATTCCTTGATATCTCCGAAGAAACTTTTGCCCAGCAGCTAACAAGAATGGACACTGTAAGTTGTTGTGAAAAGAAGGGCTTTATTGATATTTGTTGATTTTTCATTTTACCCAGTGCTAGTGATATCTTTTGCGTTTCAGATCTACTTTCTATTTTTTAATGTTAAAGTGATTCATAAATTATATATCTTCCACAGGTTCTCTTCAAGGGCGTTGTGGCCCATCAGTGCCTCGGTTCAGTTTGGTCAAGAAGGGACCGTGGGCGAGGAGACTCTGCAGCAACAGTGACAGCTACAGTAGACCAGTTCAATGCAGTCAGCTTCCGTGTGCAGTCTACCATCCTTGTGGACACTGAACTCAAGCCTTCTCAGCGTGCCAGACTCATAGTCAAGTGGATTGATATTGCTCAAGTATGAAAATGAAATGATTATTTCCAGTTTTCTTTACTGTCACTGAAAATTTTAGATGACTTACACCCGCTTTGTACCATACACTATATATTTTGCTGAATTATGTTTAATGTTAAGTTCCTGAAAACTGACTGAAACAGCATGAAGTGAGACTTCGGTTATTTATGTCCATCGTAAAAGTAACAGTCTTTCCACATGATTTTGTCTGTTCTCTGTTATGGAGCATGCAATAGGAGTCATTGGTTGTTTTGATGTAAACAAGTTGACTTTAGCTGTGATGATGTTAATCATTGTAGATCAACTGTAATTAACTTGAGATGAAAAGGTGTGTGTTTTTTTTGTTTTTGTTTTTTTAGAGAGAGAAAAAAAAAACACGCTCTCTCTTGTGAGAAAAAAAAACACGCTCTTGAGAGAAAGGTATTTAGAATGTGCAAAGGCGTGTTAATTTTCAAATAAGAGTGTGCTCTTATTTGAAAATTGCCAAGTTAGTTAATTCTGTAAACTAAATATAGCTTTTAGTTTAATTGTTTAAAAGTATGTTAAACGAAACTGAGCACTAATCAATTTCAGTCAAAGTTTGGTATAATAATCAGGAATTTTATTTACAGACAGATATTTTCAGGAGTTGAGGATGCTGAAGAATTTCTCATCCCTGAAGGCCATCATTTGGCAGACAAGAAGACGAGCTGTCAATAATATCTCTTTCTTTAGATTCAAATACTGTAGATTCTGATGATTGGCTTATGGAACTTTTTACTTGCAGATGTCATTGTATATAAAAAAAAGTGGAATAGAAGGCTTAGAATATTGTTTTTTGGTATAGAATTTCTTTAAGTATCACTACCAATAATGTTAATACAGAAAGTGAATGGAATTTTAGATTGGAGTTTTTATTTGATTTCAGTTTTAAAAATCTGAGTTACTCAAGTCCCTTAGGCTTAAATTTCTTTTGTGTCCCCTTAGGCTGAGCTATTTGAGGAATTGGCAAGAATCTTCAGCGAGGAAAATAATCAGCTAAACCAGCGAGAGTTACTCATGAAGGAGGGAACTGCCAAGCATGCAGAGACTGCTCATGCTAATGACAGACATCTTCCAAAGGCACTAGAGAAAATGGCAATTAACCCATTGGTGAGTAATTAGATAATAATTATGCTTATTTTCCTCTCTCTGTTCTCTTTATATTCTTGCCTGCATGTTATTTTGGTTTAAGAAATTATATAAATGATATTCAGAAACATCAAGTGTACTCTGTATCTTTGTTTTGTTTTTATTTTAAACAGTTCACAACAATATGAATATTTTTAATGCAATGTAATTACTAATAAAAATTCACAGAAATATAGGACACATGAAATTTAATCAATCAAGATATTTTATCAAAAGACACTGGGTGCCTAGTAGTAAATAATAATTGATTTCAGGCTGTGAGTTATGGAACCATTCCATATCTTGGCACATTCCTGACGGATCTCACAATGATCGACACAGCAATTCCAGATACTGTGTCTAATGGCCTTATTAACTTTGACAAGAAGCGTAAAGAATTTGAGGTTCTTGCTCAGGTTAGTATTTCACAGGCTGGCACATTTATTAGGATAATAGAAGAAGAAGAAAAATCTGTGAAATTTGTGAAATAGATTGAAACAATATCAACTCTTGTATGATAACAAGCACATATTTTGTATATGTTTATTGTTCTTTATTTTTGATTATTTATTAATTCACTTTTGGGATGCGCAGATCCGTCTGTTACAAGGTGCAGCTAATGCATACCAAATGGTAAGGGACGAGATGTTTGAGAGATGGTGGGACTCAGTATTGGTTTTAGATGACAAGGAGGCTTGGAGGCTGTCTTGTCAGATTGAACCCCAAGGATCTTCAGCTCCATCATCAACCAGAGAGAGTAGAATGCGGAAAAGAGCACAGTAAGTATTAGATGTACTTTTGTATTTTTGGTTGAGATTTAAATTCATTTATTCTTAATATAGGGTTTTATGGTCCACCATATATGTTTGCTTGCCAGGAAGCTTGCAAGGGGCTTATGGGGCTAATGCCCTATAAACAATTAGTTTTTCTTCAGGCCATAAATTTAAGTGTTGCTGTGATATACTGCCATTGAAAACAGAAAAAGTGGATTGGGCCTTGTTAATTAAAGTGTCTTTAAAGTAGCTGCTGCTTGTAGAACAGATGATATATGGTAAATGAGCGTGTGTGTATGGTGGAATCCTTGATGCATTCCTTTCTGAAAGAATGTTGGCCCATTTTATGGGCTAGTTCTTCATTTTTCTTGAAAATATTAATGTTTTGTCTGCAGGAGTGGTAGCATTTTTCAGTAATTTTCTTATTTTTCTTCTTTTGCCTTTCTTAAATTAACCCTTGATATTTTTCATTTGCAGATTTAGTCACAGGAAGAATGATAGCATAGCAAGTACTTCTAGTGGATCATCTAGTAGTCAGTTCTTCTTTGATAATGATTCAATCAACAGCCCAACAAGTCACAATGACACATGTTCTCTTGAGAGAAAGGTATTTAGAATGTACAACCTTGTTAGTAATATTTTGACTAGAAATTGTTGATTCATCAGTAAATGTATGAATTATTCAAAATAATATTGTGCACAATTCTTATAAAAAGTTCACATACTTTGTGCATTTTTTCACAATTTAACATTGCTGTTTACCTTCAGATGTCGACTTCTTCAAGCAGCTCATCCCTACCTTCCTTAGATGTTTCTGTTCACTCTGGTGGCACTTCCACATCTGGTCGAACACCAGATCGTACCTCAAGCAACTCACAGCAGCAGCAGTCAACACAATCTCCTTATATTACTCCAGACTTTTACATTATTAGAGTTTCAATTGAGAGTAGTGCCCATGAAATTGAAGGTAAATATGTTTCATTACTGACAGTCATATCACTTGAAAAAATATGAGTTAACTTGTTTGCATAGTTTTTCATGTGAAATATTGTTATCTGTAAAATACTTAAATATGATTCTTTTCAAACCAGGTGTTAATCTCTACAAAAGCATAATGCTGAGCAACTCAGAACGTACAGTGTCAGTAATTCGAAAAGCCATGGAGAAGCATGGATTTGAAGGCAATCCAGAGGACTATACTCTAGCACAATTCCTACCTGATGGTGGTAAGTTGATGAGTAGTGAATGTGAAACCAGGGAGTGATATACTTCCTGATTGTTTGTCAAAAAAAAAAAAAAAAAAAAAAAAAAAGCTTAAAAATTAATATGTAATTTTTTCTTTTGGTGTGATATGCTAGTTGGCAATTGAGTTAGAAAATTAAGGTTGAAAATTAGCACAAGGAAAAGTTTGATAAAGTGTTCATAATATGTATGATTTCTGTTTTTTCTTCCACAGAAATGCTACTTCCTGCCTCTGCTAATGTTTACTACGCCATCAACACTCAGTATGACTTGAACTTTGTTCTTAGACGGCGAAGGCACGGTGATGAAAATACAATAATCAGAAAGAATCCTGTTAAAGATCACAAAATGAGGAAAAAGCTCCTGATGGCTTAGTTTAAGGATCTCTTAACTATTGATGCATCATTTAACAAGTGGTGTTGATCACTCTGCCTGTGGACAGCTACAGCATTGGCACTTAACTTGTGGCTTTTCACTTAGTTTATATCCAATACTTCCATTTTTGGCAACTTTACTTATCAGTCATTCATGACAATTGAGCCATGAGACATGAATATGCGCCACTGATTCTCTGGCCTACTCATTATACAATGTATAAAATGCAGGAGACATTTTACACTAAAATGTTAAAACATATGAGGTGTGTGTCTAATACACAAATGTGTGCATGTTTGTGAGTGTGTGTTTGTATGTGTGAATTTAATGAGAAATTCAAACTCTGTCTTACAATGACTGATTTTTATTCAATTTATCTTAACTACTGAATCCATTCCCTGTGAAATTTTTATTCCTAATATTCCTGGGTTGTAAAAGTGGAAATTTGTAAGAATTTTCCCAGGGCTGTGAATTTTTTCTTGCTTCTTTGGCTGTTATGTGGTTTTATGCATGATAATTGGGGGGGGGGGATATCCAAATTGATAATGATGAAATCATGTTTGATTGTCTTGTATAGAATAAATATTGAATTTTTTTTTGTAACACGTTGATAATCAGACAGATGCCATCATATTTTAAAAATACTCAAGTATTGTGCATCTACATGTTCATTTGATTTTTTTTATGCTTTGAAGTTTTCACATTTAAGCTTTAATTTTTTATATTTTTGGAATCTGGTGAAAACTTGAGTTATGAGTTACGAATGTACATGTTGACCACAATTTGATTTATTTATTACTCTTTCTTAGCACCCTTCTGCAGCACCCTTTTAGAGTAGTCTCGTGGGGCAATGATATTTGTCTTGAATTAGAGACCGAAGCTAATTCATGACAACACCACGTGATAGGGAAAAAACATTTCCTATTATCTTAAAAGATAATAGAAAATGGAGTACTGTGCACATGACTTGCTATATAGACCTAAGCTTGTCCTAAATTACTTTTTTTTTTTTCAAAAAAATAAATTTCTCAAGTTTTCATACTAAAAAAATGCTTTCCATTATCAGAATGAAATCTTGGCCTGAAATTCTTGTAGATTTTACCAAGTAAAAATATGCAACTAGTAGATTATCACCGCAGTATTGGTGTATTTATCCAGTGAAAAGAATTGAGGCCAACTTTAACTTCCTAATAGCCTTGGTCTCTTTGTCACTCAAAGAGTTGTTTTACAGAGTTCAAATTTTATCTTATGATATTGTAAATACTGTGTAGGCTATGTTGTATACTTGTAAAAACACTATATTGTTACCTTTGTAAATAAATTTATTATTTCTTCATGTTATTTATGTTCCCTGTATTATGCTCAGTAAAGAAATAAAATAAACTTGAAATCCAAATGTATAACCAGTAGTTCAGTTAAGATGTTATGAAGCATAATAAATATTCCCTCTCTTGTATCCAAAATATATTGGTAAAACTATTATGAATATAATGAACACCTTAGTCATGGGTACATCACAATTCACTCTAGTGAGCAAGTTGGTGGGCCAGCTGTACATAGCAAATGCCCTGTTGTGTAATTATCATGTCACACAAAATTCTGGCCCTGCCATGATAAAGTTAAACTGAACTGCAGCACAAGTACTAATCAAGGACAGTTATAATTGGCTAAACTTGGGTAAGTCAAAATAATTTTTAAAATTCAACCAATATGAAGAAAAAATATATTCAATACTTTTAATGCTTTCATTTCTTAAAAGAATCTATCTTCAGATATTTGTTGAGTAGCACTTATAGATAAGCCCATACAACTAAGAGATGATTTCTCCCAAATGCAAAATTCAGATATTAGGTTATTCATAAATACACTGAAAACAGTTTTTCATGAACAACTGGGTTTAAATATAACATTTGTAGAGATAGAAAAATGGTCTAGACACATTAAAGATAAAAGAAAGGCTGAAAGAAACAGCAAATGAAGTTCTAATCAATAATAATATGCATTTGCATAATACTGAAAATGAAAAGCAATGGCACAGGACTGGAAAATATTGTGTAAATAAAACAATAATGATATTTTCTCTTTTACGTAATATCCACACATGGTAGCAAAAAGTAATAATATATCTTTCCTCATATAAACAAGTCACAGCAATCATTCTCACAAAAGAGACACTATGCCAAAAGTATTTGAATGTTCACTGCTGAACAATATTTTGCACCTCTGTACCAGAAAAAACACTATCTTATGAAAATTGGGAATTTCTAACTTGCAATAATTTCTATAGTACATTCAATCTGGGTATATAGAGTCATGCCTCTTTCCACAGAGTAATCAGAATGACTTGCATGGCTGTATCACATATGGCAAGAATAATATTTGACACTTAAATGGAATAATGGTGTTTGCTTCTTCTTATGGTCTGATTCTCATCAATATAAAACTAAGCTTTTCACATCAATCACATCTACAATGTTATACGAGAGGTGGCATAGCTCAGTGGTAGAGCGCTGGCTTTGCAATCACATGGTCCTGGGTGGTCTGTCGACTCACCTGTGAATGAGCGCTGATGTCAGCATACTGGGGTAAAAGTCGGGGCAGAAAGGAACTGGCCACGCGACTGCATCATTCTGCTGCTTAGTAAGCATGTTTCTCAATGAGTATGTTCCCTACGTCCACATTGATATGGGACCAACTTTGACCTTTGAATGACTACAGTTGGATTTGCTATTTTTGTGAAAGCGAGTTGTAGTGGTATAAAGTCAACCACTACTGGTAAGAGCTTAATCAATGATTGGCTGGTCACTAATCATGATGAGGGTGAATGAAGCCTATACTATTACAAATCAACTCATTTAAAAACTACTTTGGTGCTATCATTGGTTACATATGTTAATCATACTAATCTTTTGTCTTAAATGTACTTGTAATGTTGAATCTGATGGCTCTCATTTTAAACCTATGGCCTCTTCTTAGCTCTCATATATTTTAGAGGCTCATTCATAATTATATAGATGAATATTTGTACTTCAAAATTACTTCAGAATTAAAAGCCTCAATTCAAAGCTGCCAGGGATGGCATGTATGAACATGCCATGCCCACTATGAGTTTCGTTCATTAACTGTCTCTTCACATAGATGGCTCCCCAAATACTTAGTAACCAATGAGCCAATTACTAGTACTAAGTAAGTCACCTGGTTACCCTTTTCCTTGATTTTCAGAAATATTTTCTTTTATCTTATATTGGTGGTAGTAATGTCAATATTATAATGATTATAATGTCTCTAATAATAATACCAGCAACAATTCTGATGATAAGTGGAATCAAGTAAGGTCACAAGGTTGACTAATTGACTAATGAACTAATTATGAAGCCATCTATGTACACAGACATTTTACAAAACAATACCACAGTAAATACTACATTTTCCCAGTGGCAGTAGGTTAAAGTATTGTTAACATGAAATGCTATCAAGTTAGACATCAACTGATGGTCTGTGGTGCAAAACACTTTTGTCTATGGCAGTAACAAAACATGGTATGGCTTGCTATATATCCAGACTGAACAATATTAAAAAAATACATATCAAATATAAAACAAATTAAGTTACTTTTTTGGCACAGATTACAACCCTGTTAGCTTACATGTAAGGAACCTTTTGAATATGCATACACGCAATGTTTTGATGTTACTCATATAACCAGCAAGAAAAGAATGGAATATTTAAAGTTATATAATATATATTGAACCAACTACACACTTTAATGTGACAGGAATCTAGCTGCTTTACTGAAAATGTGTTTAAAAAATACAAGTATTAATTTTCAAATCACAATAACCCTAAAATGCTGCTTATCAAAACATAAAATCACTCACTATTTCTCTCTTCTTTGGTGACATTCTTGATCCACATTAAAGGCAATTATTCGGAGAATTTTCCAATTTGCTAATCTTGTTAACCACATATAGATGGCCCCAAACATACTATACTGCAAATGAGCCAGTTACAAGAAGTACCTGTCTCACCTGTTAAACCCTTTCATTGATATTTTATAGAATTTAATACTGCTGTTAGTAATGTCAATAACAATATAATAATGATAAGATTTATAACAAAAATAACATTTTCCCACTATTTCAAGGAAAGGTGAGTCCCAAGATCTACTAATTGGCTCCTTTGTGGCTAAGCATTGCCAGAGCCATCGATGTGCATAAACATTTAACAAAACAATACTAAAGTGAACACAACATTTTCCCCAGCAGCATTGGGTTAAGGTAACCAAATTCAGATCCCCAAGGATTACTTTGTCATGTCCACGCTGCCATTTTTGTATGAAAAAAATGCTTATACAAATATGTAAAGCATTAAATTCAATCTAATTTTAACAAACAAGAACTATTATGTATACCACCAGTCTGAAAAACTTCATACATAATGTAGAAAACCTTGTAAACGAATATCAGAGCCTGAAATCATGAAGACAAACTTTCCCAGAGTATAACAGAAAAGCTTTATAAATAGCAGCATTTAATAATACACCTAAAATGTCAAGACTTTTGGATATTCCAACACATATTTCAAAGAATGATATATCATTAATGACTAATTTGATTGTGACACTTATTTTTCAAAAATAATCAAATGCAAAATACAAATTTTCAACTCCCTAGTAACTGTCTTGGTCATTGAAATGAAACAATTTTTATTACCTTAAAGAGTGGTTATAGGCACATCTTGAATAATCAAACATGAACCTTGCATACTCAAAAGTACAGTTGATCCTTGAGTGCTTACAATAAAAAAGGACAAATACTTCTATATACTCTTATGGAATATGTATATTTGCAAAACACACAAAAAAAGAATTCAAAGAGAGCAAAATGGCCTGAGCATATATATATCTAAATATGGTAAGTACTATATTTTGTTCTTAACAGATGAAATATCATCAGAGAAGAAATAATAAGCTTATAGTGTATGCATGATAAAATATGTGCAACAAAAATATTTAGAGGCATGAGTTATTTAGATTTAAACCTAAACAGTATCAGAAACTGAAAATCTGTAATTATTGAAGAACTCAAGAACAAAAAATTACATAAATACTGCACATGTAAAATATGATATCTATATATATTTTGCTTTTCTAAATGTTTGTTAATCATGTCCTCATGCCTCTTTGCCTCATCAAAGATAATTGTGACTTACCTGTGAATTAATGACACACATACTGCTAAAATAAATTTGAATGAGAAAGATTAACAACATAAAATCATGTAAAAATTGCAACAAAGGACAATTGCAGTGCTAGCATAACACTGAAAAGTAACAACAAGAACAACTGATTCAATAACTTTGAAGGGTATTATACTGCATAAATTTATTTACATTAGAAAGATGGTAAAAAGATGTATGCATAGTGTGTTTCATTCAGGATAAATGTCTTTATGGAAGACATTATAAAGGCAGAATATCACTTAAATTATGCAGCACCTTAATCCATTTCATCTACAAGAATGACATAATGACAATCATTTGTTAGATCATCAAGTGTTTCCACAATAATATTATCTGATGGCGGCTCAATGGATTCTTGTTCCCCAACTTCATATATGACCTGTTCTCCCTGCGGCATTTGTGGCACTAGCAATAATTCATCTTTAGGCTTATTAGGAACATCATTTACTTCAACGGTCAGATTTCTTGTTTCCATCATAGCATGTGTCTCTTTCCCAGGTTGCACATTTAGGTTCAGAGTGTTTTGAGATTGTGAATAGTTGTGCCTATCTTTGCCTCCTTCTGCATCATATTTTTTGGCAGTTCCATGGCTTACTTTCTGCTTATTATAGACTGAGGAAGAACCAATGTCGGAGTCTACAATTTTGTTTCCTTGACCCTTTTTTCTTAGAGTTTCATTTGGTGAATGCTTTGATGAATGGTGTGCTGAACTTGAATCAGTCTCCTTCCTGAAAAAGTGTAGCTTGTGAAGATGATGAAGAGGAACGTGAGAAGGAGGAAGGTGAGGAGGAGGAGGAGGAGGAGGAAGGTGAGAAGGAGAAGGAGGTGAGAAGGAGGAGGAAGGGAGGAGGGAGGAAAGGTGAAGAGGAGGAGGAAAGGTGAAGGAGGAGAAGGAAGGTGAAGGTGAAGGAGGAGGAGGGGAAGGTGAGGAGGAGGAGGGTGAGGAGGTGAGGAGGAGGAGGGTGAGGAAGGTGAGGAGGAGGAGGGTGAGGAAGGTGGAGGAGGAGGAGTGGGTGAGGAAGGAGGGTGAAGGAGGAGGAGGAGGAGGGTGAGGGAGGAGGAGGGAGGAGGAGAGGAAGAGGAGGAGGAGGGTGAGGAAGAGGAGGAGGGTGAGAAAGAGGAGGAGGAGGAGGAGGGTGAGGAAGAGAGGAGAGAGAA